ATCTCTAGAAAAGTAATGTTTTTTGCTGAATTGTGCACTGTGACTCATTTCAATACATCGAAATCATCCTGCCTCATATCTCGTCCTGGCGAAGCGGGATCGTATAAACAGACCCTTATTCAGCAAATTGCGCATGGTGCCATTCCTTGGGGGTGAGGCAGCATTTTCCTTGCGATAGTAACTTCTAGTAATAATTAATAAATTCCGAGCACGTGCAAGGAATTTTTGGTAGGCGATTAAGGAAACGTATTGATGCGAACAAACTAACAAACAAACGGACAAACTCACAGGCAGAATATAATGCGGTGCCAAAAATGGCACGGGCACCGCAATGTAGCGTACTAAATATAACTTTACTTGTAGGGCCTACCGCATTTTAGTACTGTGTTATTAAGCCTTTCGCGCTCGTGTTCGACTTAGCTCCGGGAAGAGCTGTGTACTCATGTACATTGTACAGTAATGTACGTAGTTGTATAGCCCCAGCGAGTTAACGCTCCGTAGAGCGTCTTGTTTATTTTAATCCTCGCTTGAGGTAATGTCACGCGATTTACTTCTGGGTTTTCGGATTTTGTAGGCTTGCTTGGTGCGGTTTGTTCGCTTTGCACCGAGTAAAGATATTCATCCGATTCAGAGCTTGAGGTCTCTGATCTACGTTGTTGCTGGTAGTCAATATTTCGGACGTGCTTTCTGTCGCGACGGCGAGAATTTGTTTGTTTTGTCGAACGACAAACCTTGGCAAAATGTCCTAGATGATTACAATTATTGCACTGTTTCCCTCTTGCTGGACAAGGTGCATTAACATGCGGCCAAGAGTTGCCACAGTTATAGCACTTCGACATGGACCGGTTGTCGTTGATTCGGCGATTAGTGTTGTTGTGGCGAGAAAACTCGGGCGACTTGTTGTCGAATGAAGAACGACTTCTAGTATCATGACGTGTTGTGCGACTCATTTCGCCGATTTCGCCGATTTTCATCTTCGTTTTTATGTAAGGTAGCAAGCTCTTGTGTTCAATTGTTCATGCTTTTTTCCATATCCAAAGCTTGTTTTGTTGAATTTTCTAGAGCGCGAGCGTGTTCGAGTAGTTATGCAAGTGTCATGTTGTCATCTCGCAGGGCATTCTCTCGTAATTTCTTTGATGAACATCGTTGAATTATCTGAGATCGAATTTCATCATCAGTATTAGTAAATTCACACGTAGATGCTAATTGTCGGAGACGGGTATAAAACTTGTCAACGCTTTCGCTATCCAGTTGCTGAGCTTGGCGAAATTTGTATATTTCAAATGTTTTATTTTTCTTCGGCGAAAAATAATCGGTGAGAAGTTTTAAAGCAGTTTTGTAGTCTTTGGCTTCCTCTGAGTCAGGGAGATTATCGAATATTTCATATTTCATGCTTCTCCAGCACAAAATAAGAGCTCGAGCAAGGAACGTTTCTGTTTGTCCTCAGTAAGCCCTGTAGCGGTGATGTATGTCTCGAGGCGCTTCGTCCATCGCTCCCAGCGAATGCCAATATTATT